CGAGTCCCGCATCGGGCTCTCTGCTCAGCGGGGAGCCTGCTTCCCTCTCTCTCTCTCTCTGCCTGCCTCTCCGTCTACTTGTGATCTCTCTCTGTCAAATAAATAAATAAAAATCTTAAAAAAAAATTAAAAAAAAAAGATTTTAGCTGATGGTTGAAAAAGGCTTCCCTAGTGCTCTGGGAGGACGTTTCCCCAGGGTACGAATAGGGAGCCCAACATCAGCATGTCCCCAGTCATCTCTCAGTTCCTCCCTGGAAGAAGTGACAGCCCCATTCTTGCAGTGAATAGCATTATTCTCAATAGCAAGAACAGCATTTATTTATTTTAGAGAGAGAGCCTGCAAGTGAGAGCAGGGGAGGGAGCAGAGGGAGAGAATCCTAAGCAGACTCCACGCTGCGCACAGGGCCCAGGGCGGGCTCGATCTCGTGACTCTGAGATCGTGACCTGAGCTGAAACCAAGAGCCAGACACTTAACTGACTGAGCCCCCCAGACACCCCAAGAGCAGCTTACTTTATGTGAGCCTGTAAGGCTGGGCCAGCACCCCGATCTCAGGCCCTCGTGCCTGCTTCAGGGATGTTTTAAGGGGACTCCTGCCTGAGGTGGTGTTTACGTCTGTGTGGTTGTTGGAAGTTGGAGGGACATAGGTGTCCTATAGACCTCACCAGCGATTTTTCTGGTCTCCTAATGGAATTCTCAGCCCCTCGATATAAAGGTGACCCACCTTCCCTTACCTAGAGGCCACGACCCAGACGTGTTTTAGACTTTAGAATGTTTTGGGCTGTAAAAAAGTGTTGTGCAGGACACTGGGGGGCTCTGCCTTCAGCTCTGGTCATGATCCCAGGGTTCTGGGATCGAGCCCCACATTGGGCTCCTTGCTCGGCGGGGAGCCTGCTTCTCCCTCTGCCTGCTGTTACCCCTGCTTGTGGTCTCTCTCCCTCTTGGGCAAATAAATAAAATCTTTAAAAACAACGTCCTGCCCATCCCATCACCGGCCCCACGCATACCCGTTACCAAGTGTGCTACAGTGTCTGCAGCACACACGAACGTGTCAGTAACAGCACAGGGTTTGCACTGGGCGTGTCTTACTCTCAGTTAAGAACTTCGGGCTTCCTGTGCTGTTTGCAGTTTGGGATTGTGGATTAGGGACCCCGAGAGCAGGAATGCATTCCCTCAAATAGAGGGCCTTCATTTCTGGTTTCCAGGTTTGCTCTAGACAAGTCTCCTGAATGCGAGCCTCACGCACATCACTGTTTCTGATTCTTTAGAAAGATCACGGATGCCCGCTGTTCCAGAACGTCTCCATCAGTGGCTCCGCATTCAGTTTCGTGTCTGTCTTCCAGCTCCTTAGTACTGGCGAGCAGTGGAACCTCTTCTTCCAGGCCCGTTCCTGCTGCCCACGCTTCCTGAGCACCCTCTGGACCGTGCTCCCCCCGGGCGATTCCTGCGCAGGGCCCTGGGCCCCGGGCTTCTGGCGAGTCAGTACCCGCCAAGCTGCTGGTCTGCGGTTCCAGTAACCTGCTAGAGGAAAGGGAAGCAGCCCTCTCTTTTGAGCGCACCCATAAGCAAGCTGTTGGCATCAAGTCCTTGAAAGTCTGCTCTCCTGACAGACACGAGGTAGGCTGGCCGAGGGTCCTGTGTAGGAGCGAGCCAGGGCCCGCGGGTCCACGTCTGTGGGCAGCACCCTGATGCGGACAGGAAGAAGCTGGCCGCTCTCTGTGTGGAGCCGCTGTGCAGGGACCCTGTTCTTCCTTCCTGCTGCCACTTAGCACAAGTGCAGGTGTGGTTTGGGTGGTGCTGACCGTTGCCCCTGACCTGGCCCCGGGGCGGGCGGGGGTGGAGAGGACTGGGACAAGTGAGAGGAGATAACACCGAGCTTACTAAACTCAATCCTTATTTTTTTTTAATTTGGGAAAATTGTGGTGTTGGTGGTATGTTTTGCTTTGTGTGTTTCTAAGGGATGAGGGATGATAGCATTTGTGTTCCTGGTCTTGGAGGCAGCCAGGACTCATCAGCTGTTAACCTGGCAACATTTTAACACGTAGGGTCCCAGCCCCCAGACACCAAGGTAGGTGCATCAGATAAACAGAAACAAGGGTGGACCTGGGCTCCCCCTGCCCCCGCCCAGCAGCTCTCCCTAGTCCTCGGGAGCCTGGTCACCCCCAGCAGACAGGGCACTGGCTCCGCTGGGGGCCACCACTGCTTTGGGAAAGTCATTAAGATTTCCTGAGCCCTGGCACTCACGACACGATTCCCGAGTTAAATGAAAAAGTGGGAAGCAACAAAATTGCCAGCTTGAACGATTTCTCCCCAGAGCAGCCTTCTTAAAACTCCCCAGGATTTCCTGCTGGGCCTGGGTAACGCTGTCAAATCGCCACCCTTCTGAGAATCTGCCTTTACTTTCCTCGTCCTGTCTCTCTACCCTAACAAAGCCCGTCCGACTGGGGGTCTTGAAGTGAAGCGCCCTGCTCAGCCTTCAGGCACTCGCAAGAGGAGGCCCCACTCCTGCCACATCAGAGCCAGCCCCCAGGGCTTGGGACGCACCTCAGGTCTATGGGTCTGCACTTTGGCCTCAAGAGCCCACAATCCCCTGTGTTGCTCCTTCAGGGCCCTTTCCAGCTACGGAAGGTGTGTGGGGACGCTCTAGAGTCTGTTTTCCTCAGATTCCCTGAGAGCAGCTTTTCTGTTCAAGAGCCCTAGCTTCTGCATACCCTGAGATTTCTGTGGTCCCTTCCAGGCTAGAGCTCAGGGCTCACCACGGCAGGCATAGGTAGCACCAGGCCAGATAAGCCTAGCAGGATGCACTCCCTGAAATGTCTTCTTTCCTACCCAGCATCTGGGGATGTTAACTCCCGGGAGGAACTGGCCTTTCCCTTCCCTCAAACTACTGAAGTACTTCTAGCTTATGGCCTGGACCCTTCCCCACAGAGAGGGGTACCCCCTTCCCCCAAGGCCGTGTCTAGAACCCTCCATCTGGGATGTGTTGGAGCCTCTGGTTAGGTTCTGACAAAAGGAAGGCCTTTGTAGAACACTCAGAAGGACAGCATTGTGTCCATGCACATTTTTATTGTGAACAGTCTTTCTATCTGACTGGAAGATGGGGAGGGCCCACGGGTGCAGGCGTGGGTACAGCAGAACGGGGTCTGAGGTCATTCCAGGAACCCAGGTGAGAGTGGGGGAGTGTGGGGGTGGCACATTGTTTCCTCCACTCACAGCTCTTCTGACAACAAACATCTGGGATTTTCTCCCACCAACCAGTCCTACAACTCTCTGACCCATCTGGGAGTCTTGCCATTGACTTCTGATCTGACGTTGACTGCTAGAATCAGTGCCCATGCACAGACTGACTCTCAGTCACACCTGGGGGGTCCTGGCTTGTCACCCCTACAGGTGACCGACCAGCTGTGAATCAGGGTTCCCACCACCCGCTCCTGGGGTCCCACGCTTCTCTAGGGCTTCTGCGCACACACTTACCTCTACCGGCTTGTTACGTAAGAAAGAGCGTGACAGATGAACCGCCAGACGGAGAGCCACCTGGGGTCCCACTCCGGGGAGCTGCTGCCCCCGTGGAGTTGGGGTGGGCCGCCTTGCCCGGATGTGGAAGCGCCCCAGGCCCAGCCTCCATCTCCATCTCCGGGCCCCTCCCCTCCCTGGAGGGTGGGGCTGGGGCTGGGGCCTAGGGCTCCAGGCTTCTGCTCTGTGAGGCTCTGGGCTGGGGCCATGCGGGGTTCAGAGTGTAAAGGAGGAGGAAAGGGATTGTTGGGAGTTTGGGGGGGAGCTGAGCTCCCTCTCCTGTCGTGGGGGTGTGGGAGCAGGAGGCCGCACCCCAGGGCTCCCAACCCTGGCCTCTGACCGCCCATTCTGGGTGGAGCTGCAGAGTTCTAGCCCCTCGGGAGTGCCTTGGGAGCCCGCATCTGCGCCTCCAAAAATACCCGTAAACCCCCAGCTTCCGGGGGTCCTGGACCCGGAGCGCCAGGCCAAGAGGCAAGGGGTGAAGCCAGGTGGGTCCTGACGGGGTTGAAGGAGTGCAGGGGTGGGAGGGAGCGGGTCTCAGAGGCAATCATTGTCCAAAAGCTGTTTCCCCCTGTCTGGCCAGCCTTCCCGTGGCCACCCAGCTCCCGGAAAACGAAGTGGGGTTTTCCCTCCTCTTCTGTGCTGCAGACGCGGGTGGCCTGTTTGTCTCGGGAGGGAGAGCAGTTCCGAGGAGCAGTGGCGGCCCCGGGAAGGCGGCTGGCAGGTGTGCGCGGACGCCCGCCCCGTGGGGCTGCAGCGCGGGGCTCCCCGTGGGAAGGCCCCCCGCCCCCCAGACTCGCTCTCGGCCTCGGTGGTGAGCTCCGGCTCCAACTCCCGCTCCCGCCCGGGCGCTGGTGCCTGCATACCCTGCCGCCCGCCGTGAGCCTCTGGCCGGCCTGGGACCACCTGCCCTGGGGGCGGAGCGGAGCCATGGGCGCCCCCGGGCACCGTGTGGGGAGGAGAGCGAGACGGCGTGGAGGCCGGGCCGCCGGGTCCACCGCAGTGCTGTGCGCGGGAGGGGGCCGCCCCGAGGTCACGGCGGCGAAGGCCGGTGTTGGGGTGTCCCGGGCAGAGGGGGTCGCGACCACAAAGGCCCTGATTGGGATCGCGGATCGCGGTGGAGCCCGGGCTGGTGGAGCGAGGTGGGGGCGGAGGGTCTGGCCGGGCCTGCGGTTCCGCGGGTGGTGCGCTTGCTCCGCGGGGAGGAGGTCGGACCCCGGCGGGAGCGTGGCCCGGAGGCACAGGTGGTGAGCGGTCGGGTGTCCCGCGGGTGGAGCTGGTGGGACCCCTGACAGAGCACAGCGGGGGTGCGAGGGGGCACGGGGAGGGCGGAGGGCCAGGCTGTGGAAGGACTCACCTGCTGCGCCCTCGGAGCCGCTGGGGGACGCGGTGATCCCCACCCCGCCTGCAGGTGCTGCGGGTACCATGGCCGTGACCAGCTGGCCACTGAGCAGCACCGCACAAGGGGAAACTCTAACGGGGTTACAGTGGTTGGGAGTCCTCGCCAGTGGTCAGGAGTCAGTCCTCTTGGGGTCAGGAGTCCTCGCTGGGGGACTCAGATCCCGGGCAGGTTTGTGGCACTGGTTGAGGAAGTGATATTTTATATTTGGCCTTTCCCCAGGATGATGCTTCTAGTAAGTGATGTTTTTAAAATGATTTAAATCTGTAGAAAGTTACTGTGGAGCAGACAACCCTGGAGGGGGTGACCCAGAGGACACAGGGCAGTGACCTGGGGTCCCCGAGGCGTCTGTGCTCGTTGAGAGCCCTGGGCCAGGCTGGCAGAGTGCCTGAACCTCCTGGGAGTGAGGGCTGGCCAGCTCCCGAGGCTTCGTCCTCACTCATGGCGGCCCTGCCTGGGTTTTCTGTGTGTGTGTGTGCGTGTGTGTGTGTGCGTGTGCGCGCGTGTGTGTGTGTGTGTGTGTGTGCGCGCGCGTGTGGTTGTTCTTGAGGGAGTGAGAGGCAGGACTCTCAAGCAGACTCCACGCCCGGTGGGGAGCTCAGTCTCCCAACCCTGAGATCGTGACCTGAGCCGAGGTTAAGGGTGGGATCCTTAGCTGACTGAGCCCCCAGGCGCCCCGTGGCTGCATTTTCAGAGGACTCTGTGATTGACTCACGCATTATCCTAGCCCGCCGGCCCCGTCCTACCTGGGTCCCACCATAGTTCACCACGGTACCTGACGATCATGTGCGATCATCGTTTTTAAGATTTTATTTATTTTTTTGACACAGAGAGAGAGACAGCGAGAGAGGGAACAGAAGCAGGGGACAGGGACAGAAGCAGGCTCCCTGCTGAGATGCAGCTGCTCAATCCCAGGACCCCGGGATCATTACCTGAGCCGAAGGCAGAGGCTTCACGACTGTGCCAGCCAGGCACCCTTTCTCTTGTTTCTCTATGTTTTGCACGATGACCCCCCACTGCTTGGGAAACTGGAGAACGTGTGGGCACTGAACACTGGGCCGTCGCGGGCACCCCCCGTGGGGCTGGACAGGAAGGACCGGCTGAGAGACCAGCGTGTGTTCCTGCCCCAGCAACACAGTCCAGGGGTCAGTCATGACACTGGTGTGGGTTCAGCTGCACAGGTGCACATGGGGGCCACGGGAATGCAGGAGGGGGTCGGCCCAGCCCCCTCTGGTGAAGCTGCCAGCCCCAAGTGCTGAGCCCTACAGTCTGCGCAGAACACGGACTGTGAGGGAGGCTGTCTGGTGGGGGGAAGGGCGGGTCTGGAGCTCTGCACTCCGCAGACAACCCCTGGCGGAGCTGGCAGGTGCTCGATGGGAAGGCAGCTGGGGCTGGACTGGAGGAGTGGGGACCATGAGGGGCACCCAGGGACCTGTGGCCGGAGATAGGACCCACTGAGTCAGGCAGCCCCTTTCTGGCCGGTGGCGCCTGCAGGCTTGCTGACATATGGAAATCTGTTTGGTTTTTGCTCAGGCTGAAGTTCTGAAAGTCAACATTTTAAAGACCGATTTTTTTTTTTTTATATAATCCCCTTATGATGGGAGATGATAGTTTCTTTTTCTTCCCTTTTATTATTTATTTGAAATCTCTTTTGCCACTGTATATCCTGGGACCTGGGAATGAGAAACCTGGATTTCCTGTAATGGAAACACGTGGCCTGTACGCTTCCTGCTGCTGCCCGAGCTAGATCTGCTGGCCTCTGGGGTGGGGGTGGGGGTCAGCAACTCCTACTGACCCGCAACAGCTCCCAGTGTGTAGGTCTGCGAGTGGGGGGTGGTGGCGGGAGGGTGGAAGGGGAGGGACTGGCTCAGATAAGCGGCACAGCAAGAGCTGTTTCCCTTGGAGACAAGAGGGTCTGGAGGCAGATTCGGGAGGCAGATTCGGGAAGCCCTGAGGGGGCTGTTTCTGGAGGGTGAGATTGTACATGGGGTGGGGAAGAGGAGGGTCACGTTCTACAGTCTGGCTCGGAAAGTGTCTGAATTTTTCAGTCAAGTGTTGTTTTCTTCATGTAAAAGAGTTCCATTTGAGGGATGCAAAGCTGATGGGACATTTATGTTTTTAAATTAAATACATATTCATTTAACTGAAACCAAATATTTAAAATGTTTTCCTCCTATCAAAACATGCCATTCACAGTGTGTTACCACTTCACATGATCATTGAGGACACGACAGTCCCCTCCTTAGTGTGGTTGCAGGGACGACGCTGGAATCAGGAGCCCATGTTTTGCTCTCTGTAGTCACCATGGAAACCACAGGTGGAGGTTCTCCTCTGCACCGGCCTGACCTTTCCCCCATTTCCAAAGTGGTCACTGTCTTTGCGGGCTGACTTTCTGCCTCCCTGTGTCCTTGTCCGTGTCGGAGGCTCACTGGAGCCTGTGGGGTGACCCTACCCTGGGACCTGCCCATGCTGCCTGGGATGAGCCCCCTAGGCAGGTCCAGGTGATGCTTGCTTAGGACAGGCAGCCCAAGAACCTCTCAAGTACCAGTGGTGGGTCTGGTCTAACTAGTAAATGCTTCAGGAGGTGACATAGTTAAAGAAAAGGAAACGGAATGATTTTTCTTCTGTTGGACAGGAAAAATGCAAATGTGTGCAAATCAGAGAGAGACAAATATCCTATGATTTCATTCCTGTGGAATTTAAGAATCAAAACAGAGGATCATAGTGGAAGGGAGGGAGAAATAAAATCATACGGAATCAGAGAGGAGACAAACCGTAAGAGACTCTCAACTCTAGGGAACAAGCTGAGGGTTGCTGTGGGGGAGGGGATGGGGAGATGGGCGCAGGGAGGTAATGTAGCAAGCACTGGGCGTCAGACACAACAAATGAGTCCCTGAACTCTGCCTCTGAAACTAGGAATGCACAGAGTGGCAATTAACTGATTTTAAATCAATTACAATCCACTAAAATTAAATCAATTAAATTAACTGAATTAAAATCAACTAAAATGTGTAGAAGCACCTTTGTTGGGGATGTGTTCTCCCACTGGAGGAGGCAGTGGGGAGCAGGTGGGCATCCTTGTGGGGGCAGCTTGCCCGTGTCTGCTGGGGTCACAGATGCCGTCTCCGTGACCCCCACCTGGCACGTGGGCATCTGCCCTGAAGAGACTCAGGTCCTGATCTCGGGGTCAAGCCCCATGTTGGGCTCCACGTGGGGTGTGGCTTCTGCTTGGGATTCTCTCTCCCCTTCCTCTGCCTCCAGCTTGCACAGTCTCTTTCTCTAAACAAAATAATAATAAAAAAGAGTCAAATCTGAAACTGGTAGTAGAGCTAATAGCCAGGCAGGGCTGAATTCTGAGGGCCTCATAGGACTTGCTTGTGTCCTGCGGGCTGACGGACCCAGCACAGAAAACTCCCAGAAGAGCTTTTTCTTCCAGATGGCATGTTTTTCTTAAACGAGAGATACTGTGCGTTCAAGTTGTGAAGCCGAAAGTCGATGGGGAGGAGTCTGCGGGCAGCAAGCCACACACGCGAGGGCATCTGGAGGGGCCTCTGGGTCAGGGGCGCGGGGACCCAGCCGCCCCCTCCCCGGTGTCTTTCTAAAGTGGAGGAAGAGCCAGTCACCAAGTCCGCCGGGACTCAAGGGGCAGGTGGAGCGGCTCCTCGTGCTCCGTGTCCGTGAGCCCTGGCACTCACGACACGATTCCCGAGTTAAATGAAAAAGTGGGAAGCAACAAAATTGCCAGCTTGAACGATTTCTCCCCAGAGCAGCCTTCTTAAAACTCCCCAGGATTTCCTGCTGGGCCTGGGTAACGCTGTCAAATCGCCACCCTTCTGAGAATCTGCCTTTACTTTCCTCGTCCTGTCTCTCTACCCTAACAAAGCCCGTCCGACTGGGGGTCTTGAAGTGAAGCGCCCTGCTCAGCCTTCAGGCACTCGCAAGAGGAGGCCCCACTCCTGCCACATCAGAGCCAGCCCCCAGGGCTTGGGACGCACCTCAGGTCTATGGGTCTGCACTTTGGCCTCAAGAGCCCACAATCCCCTGTGTTGCTCCTTCAGGGCCCTTTCCAGCTACGGAAGGTGTGTGGGGACGCTCTAGAGTCTGTTTTCCTCAGATTCCCTGAGAGCAGCTTTTCTGTTCAAGAGCCCTAGCTTCTGCATACCCTGAGATTTCTGTGGTCCCTTCCAGGCTAGAGCTCAGGGCTCACCACGGCAGGCATAGGTAGCACCAGGCCAGATAAGCCTAGCAGGATGCACTCCCTGAAATGTCTTCTTTCCTACCCAGCATCTGGGGATGTTAACTCCCGGGAGGAACTGGCCTTTCCCTTCCCTCAAACTACTGAAGTACTTCTAGCTTATGGCCTGGACCCTTCCCCACAGAGAGGGGTACCCCCTTCCCCCAAGGCCGTGTCTAGAACCCTCCATCTGGGATGTGTTGGAGCCTCTGGTTAGGTTCTGACAAAAGGAAGGCCTTTGTAGAACACTCAGAAGGACAGCATTGTGTCCATGCACATTTTTATTGTGAACAGTCTTTCTATCTGACTGGAAGATGGGGAGGGCCCACGGGTGCAGGCGTGGGTACAGCAGAACGGGGTCTGAGGTCATTCCAGGAACCCAGGTGAGAGTGGGGGAGTGTGGGGGTGGCACATTGTTTCCTCCACTCACAGCTCTTCTGACAACAAACATCTGGGATTTTCTCCCACCAACCAGTCCTACAACTCTCTGACCCATCTGGGAGTCTTGCCATTGACTTCTGATCTGACGTTGACTGCTAGAATCAGTGCCCATGCACAGACTGACTCTCAGTCACACCTGGGGGGTCCTGGCTTGTCACCCCTACAGGTGACCGACCAGCTGTGAATCAGGGTTCCCACCACCCGCTCCTGGGGTCCCACGCTTCTCTAGGGCTTCTGCGCACACACTTACCTCTACCGGCTTGTTACGTAAGAAAGAGCGTGACAGATGAACCGCCAGACGGAGAGCCACCTGGGGTCCCACTCCGGGGAGCTGCTGCCCCCGTGGAGTTGGGGTGGGCCGCCTTGCCCGGATGTGGAAGCGCCCCAGGCCCAGCCTCCATCTCCATCTCCGGGCCCCTCCCCTCCCTGGAGGGTGGGGCTGGGGCTGGGGCCTAGGGCTCCAGGCTTCTGCTCTGTGAGGCTCTGGGCTGGGGCCATGCGGGGTTCAGAGTGTAAAGGAGGAGGAAAGGGATTGTTGGGAGTTTGGGGGGGAGCTGAGCTCCCTCTCCTGTCGTGGGGGTGTGGGAGCAGGAGGCCGCACCCCAGGGCTCCCAACCCTGGCCTCTGACCGCCCATTCTGGGTGGAGCTGCAGAGTTCTAGCCCCTCGGGAGTGCCTTGGGAGCCCGCATCTGCGCCTCCAAAAATACCCGTAAACCCCCAGCTTCCGGGGGTCCTGGACCCGGAGCGCCAGGCCAAGAGGCAAGGGGTGAAGCCAGGTGGGTCCTGACGGGGTTGAAGGAGTGCAGGGGTGGGAGGGAGCGGGTCTCAGAGGCAATCATTGTCCAAAAGCTGTTTCCCCCTGTCTGGCCAGCCTTCCCGTGGCCACCCAGCTCCCGGAAAACGAAGTGGGGTTTTCCCTCCTCTTCTGTGCTGCAGACGCGGGTGGCCTGTTTGTCTCGGGAGGGAGAGCAGTTCCGAGGAGCAGTGGCGGCCCCGGGAAGGCGGCTGGCAGGTGTGCGCGGACGCCCGCCCCGTGGGGCTGCAGCGCGGGGCTCCCCGTGGGAAGGCCCCCCGCCCCCCAGACTCGCTCTCGGCCTCGGTGGTGAGCTCCGGCTCCAACTCCCGCTCCCGCCCGGGCGCTGGTGCCTGCATACCCTGCCGCCCGCCGTGAGCCTCTGGCCGGCCTGGGACCACCTGCCCTGGGGGCGGAGCGGAGCCATGGGCGCCCCCGGGCACCGTGTGGGGAGGAGAGCGAGACGGCGTGGAGGCCGGGCCGCCGGGTCCACCGCAGTGCTGTGCGCGGGAGGGGGCCGCCCCGAGGTCACGGCGGCGAAGGCCGGTGTTGGGGTGTCCCGGGCAGAGGGGGTCGCGACCACAAAGGCCCTGATTGGGATCGCGGATCGCGGTGGAGCCCGGGCTGGTGGAGCGAGGTGGGGGCGGAGGGTCTGGCCGGGCCTGCGGTTCCGCGGGTGGTGCGCTTGCTCCGCGGGGAGGAGGTCGGACCCCGGCGGGAGCGTGGCCCGGAGGCACAGGTGGTGAGCGGTCGGGTGTCCCGCGGGTGGAGCTGGTGGGACCCCTGACAGAGCACAGCGGGGGTGCGAGGGGGCACGGGGAGGGCGGAGGGCCAGGCTGTGGAAGGACTCACCTGCTGCGCCCTCGGAGCCGCTGGGGGACGCGGTGATCCCCACCCCGCCTGCAGGTGCTGCGGGTACCATGGCCGTGACCAGCTGGCCACTGAGCAGCACCGCACAAGGGGAAACTCTAACGGGGTTACAGTGGTTGGGAGTCCTCGCCAGTGGTCAGGAGTCAGTCCTCTTGGGGTCAGGAGTCCTCGCTGGGGGACTCAGATCCCGGGCAGGTTTGTGGCACTGGTTGAGGAAGTGATATTTTATATTTGGCCTTTCCCCAGGATGATGCTTCTAGTAAGTGATGTTTTTAAAATGATTTAAATCTGTAGAAAGTTACTGTGGAGCAGACAACCCTGGAGGGGGTGACCCAGAGGACACAGGGCAGTGACCTGGGGTCCCCGAGGCGTCTGTGCTCGTTGAGAGCCCTGGGCCAGGCTGGCAGAGTGCCTGAACCTCCTGGGAGTGAGGGCTGGCCAGCTCCCGAGGCTTCGTCCTCACTCATGGCGGCCCTGCCTGGGTTTTCTGTGTGTGTGTGTGCGTGTGTGTGTGTGCGTGTGCGCGCGTGTGTGTGTGTGTGTGTGTGTGCGCGCGCGTGTGGTTGTTCTTGAGGGAGTGAGAGGCAGGACTCTCAAGCAGACTCCACGCCCGGTGGGGAGCTCAGTCTCCCAACCCTGAGATCGTGACCTGAGCCGAGGTTAAGGGTGGGATCCTTAGCTGACTGAGCCCCCAGGCGCCCCGTGGCTGCATTTTCAGAGGACTCTGTGATTGACTCACGCATTATCCTAGCCCGCCGGCCCCGTCCTACCTGGGTCCCACCATAGTTCACCACGGTACCTGACGATCATGTGCGATCATCGTTTTTAAGATTTTATTTATTTTTTTGACACAGAGAGAGAGACAGCGAGAGAGGGAACAGAAGCAGGGGACAGGGACAGAAGCAGGCTCCCTGCTGAGATGCAGCTGCTCAATCCCAGGACCCCGGGATCATTACCTGAGCCGAAGGCAGAGGCTTCACGACTGTGCCAGCCAGGCACCCTTTCTCTTGTTTCTCTATGTTTTGCACGATGACCCCCCACTGCTTGGGAAACTGGAGAACGTGTGGGCACTGAACACTGGGCCGTCGCGGGCACCCCCCGTGGGGCTGGACAGGAAGGACCGGCTGAGAGACCAGCGTGTGTTCCTGCCCCAGCAACACAGTCCAGGGGTCAGTCATGACACTGGTGTGGGTTCAGCTGCACAGGTGCACATGGGGGCCACGGGAATGCAGGAGGGGGTCGGCCCAGCCCCCTCTGGTGAAGCTGCCAGCCCCAAGTGCTGAGCCCTACAGTCTGCGCAGAACACGGACTGTGAGGGAGGCTGTCTGGTGGGGGGAAGGGCGGGTCTGGAGCTCTGCACTCCGCAGACAACCCCTGGCGGAGCTGGCAGGTGCTCGATGGGAAGGCAGCTGGGGCTGGACTGGAGGAGTGGGGACCATGAGGGGCACCCAGGGACCTGTGGCCGGAGATAGGACCCACTGAGTCAGGCAGCCCCTTTCTGGCCGGTGGCGCCTGCAGGCTTGCTGACATATGGAAATCTGTTTGGTTTTTGCTCAGGCTGAAGTTCTGAAAGTCAACATTTTAAAGACCGATTTTTTTTTTTTATATAATCCCCTTATGATGGGAGATGATAGTTTCTTTTTCTTCCCTTTTATTATTTATTTGAAATCTCTTTTGCCACTGTATATCCTGGGACCTGGGAATGAGAAACCTGGATTTCCTGTAATGGAAACACGTGGCCTGTACGCTTCCTGCTGCTGCCCGAGCTAGATCTGCTGGCCTCTGGGGTGGGGGTGGGGGTCAGCAACTCCTACTGACCCGCAACAGCTCCCAGTGTGTAGGTCTGCGAGTGGGGGGTGGTGGCGGGAGGGTGGAAGGGGAGGGACTGGCTCAGATAAGCGGCACAGCAAGAGCTGTTTCCCTTGGAGACAAGAGGGTCTGGAGGCAGATTCGGGAGGCAGATTCGGGAAGCCCTGAGGGGGCTGTTTCTGGAGGGTGAGATTGTACATGGGGTGGGGAAGAGGAGGGTCACGTTCTACAGTCTGGCTCGGAAAGTGTCTGAATTTTTCAGTCAAGTGTTGTTTTCTTCATGTAAAAGAGTTCCATTTGAGGGATGCAAAGCTGATGGGACATTTATGTTTTTAAATTAAATACATATTCATTTAACTGAAACCAAATATTTAAAATGTTTTCCTCCTATCAAAACATGCCATTCACAGTGTGTTACCACTTCACATGATCATTGAGGACACGACAGTCCCCTCCTTAGTGTGGTTGCAGGGACGACGCTGGAATCAGGAGCCCATGTTTTGCTCTCTGTAGTCACCATGGAAACCACAGGTGGAGGTTCTCCTCTGCACCGGCCTGACCTTTCCCCCATTTCCAAAGTGGTCACTGTCTTTGCGGGCTGACTTTCTGCCTCCCTGTGTCCTTGTCCGTGTCGGAGGCTCACTGGAGCCTGTGGGGTGACCCTACCCTGGGACCTGCCCATGCTGCCTGGGATGAGCCCCCTAGGCAGGTCCAGGTGATGCTTGCTTAGGACAGGCAGCCCAAGAACCTCTCAAGTACCAGTGGTGGGTCTGGTCTAACTAGTAAATGCTTCAGGAGGTGACATAGTTAAAGAAAAGGAAACGGAATGATTTTTCTTCTGTTGGACAGGAAAAATGCAAATGTGTGCAAATCAGAGAGAGACAAATATCCTATGATTTCATTCCTGTGGAATTTAAGAATCAAAACAGAGGATCATAGTGGAAGGGAGGGAGAAATAAAATCATACGGAATCAGAGAGGAGACAAACCGTAAGAGACTCTCAACTCTAGGGAACAAGCTGAGGGTTGCTGTGGGGGAGGGGATGGGGAGATGGGCGCAGGGAGGTAATGTAGCAAGCACTGGGCGTCAGACACAACAAATGAGTCCCTGAACTCTGCCTCTGAAACTAGGAATGCACAGAGTGGCAATTAACTGATTTTAAATCAATTACAATCCACTAAAATTAAATCAATTAAATTAACTGAATTAAAATCAACTAAAATGTGTAGAAGCACCTTTGTTGGGGATGTGTTCTCCCACTGGAGGAGGCAGTGGGGAGCAGGTGGGCATCCTTGTGGGGGCAGCTTGCCCGTGTCTGCTGGGGTCACAGATGCCGTCTCCGTGACCCCCACCTGGCACGTGGGCATCTGCCCTGAAGAGACTCAGGTCCTGATCTCGGGGTCAAGCCCCATGTTGGGCTCCACGTGGGGTGTGGCTTCTGCTTGGGATTCTCTCTCCCCTTCCTCTGCCTCCAGCTTGCACAGTCTCTTTCTCTAAACAAAATAATAATAAAAAAGAGTCAAATCTGAAACTGGTAGTAGAGCTAATAGCCAGGCAGGGCTGAATTCTGAGGGCCTCATAGGACTTGCTTGTGTCCTGCGGGCTGACGGACCCAGCACAGAAAACTCCCAGAAGAGCTTTTTCTTCCAGATGGCATGTTTTTCTTAAACGAGAGATACTGTGCGTTCAAGTTGTGAAGCCGAAAGTCGATGGGGAGGAGTCTGCGGGCAGCAAGCCACACACGCGAGGGCATCTGGAGGGGCCTCTGGGTCAGGGGCGCGGGGACCCAGCCGCCCCCTCCCCGGTGTCTTTCTAAAGTGGAGGAAGAGCCAGTCACCAAGTCCGCCGGGACTCAAGGGGCAGGTGGAGCGGCTCCTCGTGCTCCGTGTCCGCCATCAGACTGTCGTGCTCCGTGTCCCCCATCAGACTGTCGTGCTCCGAGTCCCCCATCAGACTGTCGTGCTCCGTGTCCCCCATCAGACTGTCGTGCTCCGTGTCCCCCATCAGACTGTCGTGCTCCTTGTCCCCCATCAGACTGTCGTGCTCCGTGTCCCCCATCAGCAGTCTGTTTGACATGATGAAAATGTAACAAGAACACCGTTGGAGTTTTTGCTTGGGTGTAGTTCAATAAATAAAGGAAAATGGGTCGTTTTGATGGAGCAGGAGGCTGGCTGAGGACAAAGCAGAAGGTGGCTCCTTGCACCCCCTCTCCACCCGCTCCCCTCGGTAATGTGTGTCACATTCCTCAGGCACCCCTGGCTGCCCTAAAAGAAAAACAAATAGTTAACTTGCAGAGATCACAATCCTGCAAGGCAGGAGTCTCCCTTGGTTTACAAATGTCCTTGAGATTTACAACAAAGGAGTTACCTTATCAATAGCCCAATTTCCAGAGGCACATAACTCAGTTCCTCAAGCCCTAATGTCACCCTCCCCTCCATAAACAAAACTGAAGGAGGCTGAGGTAGAAGGAAAAGTAAATAAAGTTAAATTTCTTCTAAACCCAAATCTCACTAACAAGGACGCTTGATAGCAGGAAGGTAACATTCCACCAGGAGACTCCCCAATTGTCTTCATGCTAGTGCCTCATTAGAGGGAAAGCGGCCTTGGCTTGGTAGTAACCAGGCCTTCAATATCCTGACAGTCTTCTTTACCCCAATAGCCCTTCTGAATACTTTGTCCTCACCTACCCAACTCCTCACATCCCCGGGGCAGCATCTCCGTCTGCCCACGGGTCCTGTCCCCGTGCTCTAATAAACCACCTTTTTGCACCAAAGACGTCTTAAGAATTCTTTCTTAGCCTTCGGCCCCGAACCTCACCCCACCGAACCTCACCTAGGTTCTAGAACTTCATCAGTTTCATAAAAACAACTTGGGATTACAGCTGGAGGGGTGGTGGGAGTTCCACGTGCGTTCTCCAAAAATGTGTGTGTGATCAGAAAAGTTTCTGCTTCTCTTGGTTTTCTAATACGAAGTGAGCAAAATGCTGCTGTGTAAATGAACAGATGAATTTTTAAAAAATGATCAGGAGTATCAGGAAATATGGGGGCCTATTAGGTAAGCTGAATAAGCATTTTTTCCCTAATCTTTCGCTCAGGGAAAAATTGTCAAAACCTCCAAAGCAATTTCGTGTTTTGAAATTAGGCTTTCCTCTTAGAGCGCGCCCGCCCTGGGTCCGGTCAGGAGTCGGCCGCAAGACAGCTGACGCGCAAATAGTGTGTCTGTGGCTCAGGATGCCTCTGGGGTGCGGAAAGTGTAGTGTGTGGAAGCGTTTCCTACCACAGACGCGTGACGCTCTCCACTGGCGTCCGGGGAGCCGAGGCCACTATCGTGAACACGTGACTTTAAGTGCTTCCAAAGGGTAGCTCTGAAGATGGTGGAATTTCACAAGACTAGAACTTTGCCTTGCGATATTGTGAGCGCCCTAACTCCTCCTAAATTTGTTTTTTAATTTTTTAAATATTTTAATTTGTTTTTGAGAGAGAGTGCATGCCAGTGGGGGAGGGGCAGAAGGAGAGGCTCTCCAGCAGAGTCCGTGCTGAGCCTGGAGCCCGACATGGGGCTTGATCTCACGACCCTGAGATCACGGTCTGAGTGGAAACCGAGAGCCAGACGCCGAGCCGACCGAGCCTTCCGCACCTCCCAGGCGCACCTACGTCTTCAGTTTAAATGGTAAAGCCAGAAGTCTGGTCTGAAACCCGTGGAAATAGACCGTACGTGCGCCTGAGGGTGAGGGTTCTGATGTCTGGCGTCTGGGGGCGCGGGCCAGAGGCAGGTGGAGACGGACGGTCGTGCTCCACACTCTTACTTCGAGGCTGATGTTTTCCTGGGACGTGTTCTCCTCTCCGTGGTGCCCGGGATCTGCAGCTGTGCAAACCCGGGCGTGTCGTCCTCACCCGCACCTCTGCCGAGCTCGCAGCCTCCAGTCCGCAGTCAGCCCCCCGCCCCACGCCCCTCAGGATGGGCTGGAAGCATGAAGGGGAGCTGCTGGGATTCTCCGGACGCTGGAGGGGGCCGTCTGACAGCGAAGGGGTAGGCTGCGTTCTTTGTTCTCGGTGTTCCGCAGATTCTGAGAGCTGCTTGGAACGTTCTCCAAGGAGAATTATGTGAGGGTTGAGTTTTGGGATTTCTGAGTGAAAATGTGTTCATTGAAATCAGGAGGCGGGGATGACATGAGTATGACTGAGAATTTCGTATCTGCTGGGGGAGGGCATCACAGACCTGCCGTGTCCGCAGGGACGTCGCCGTGCCTGTCCTCCCACGATGCAGTCAGTGCAGCGTGACTGTCACACCGGTTCGTCCCATCAGTCCCAGCCGCACCCGTCGTCAGGTGGGCTCCACGCATGGGGAAGGCGTTTATTGCCCTCCCCACGGGGACCAGACGTGGGCCTCTGCTGCACGCAGGGTGTGCGCAGGGTGTACGCAGCAGCTGCCCACGTCCTCGCTCCGCCAGGTCAGCAGCGTGGGCTCAGCCCTGCGCACCTCGTGATGGTGGGACCTGGGGCCGGTCTTCCAGAGGAGAGTTTTGTGAGAGGGACGTCTGTAAGAATTATTCCTTGGCTGAACTGGTCATGCTTGGGCACGTGTCATTTTGCTGTTTGTTGTCTCAAAAAATAAAACACACGTCTTCCCTGTATTACAAGTAGGCTCCGCGTCCAGTGTGGGGCTTGAACTGACAACCCTGAGATCCATGTTCTACTGACTGAGCCAGCCAGGCACCCCAAAATGCACGTCTTTTGACACAAACCATTGCTTTTGAGACGTCCCGACCTACATTTGGAATAGGTCTCTTAGAAAACACTGGAATATTGGGCTTTTCCTAGATTTTCAGCCATTTTTCTTGATGACCCAGAGATTCTCTTGTTCATGAGGTGAGGTTTTCCGGATGCAGTGGCCTTTCTGGAATTGCAGGAGGCATGGAAGGCATTTTCCCTTATTCTGGTTCATATACACCGAGGATTCAGTGGCTCCCCTGTGAGTGGCCTTTACCATTGCAATGAAGGCTTTCACAGAGACACACGTTTGGCCGCAGTGAAGTCTAGGCCATGGGGGCACCCCCCACCCCGGTCTACATCTGGCCTCCCCGGCCCAGTGAAACCGTAGAGCAAGGCCTGGAGCAGAGTCCAGCTGGCAGGGAAATGAGGTTTCAGACGGCAGAAGCAATCCAAGACGTCGATGTGGGACCCTCTCAGGTTGTGGCAGAGGAGTTTCCCACAGGACACATACTGCTCCTTATGCCCCAAAGAATACGGGAGGTTCTCCTCCCCACACCCCCACCACGCCCGAGCCGATGTCGTCAGGGGACACAGAGTATGTCAGGTGAGCATACCAGGATTCTTGTTGGCCCCGCAGCCGCAGCGCTCATCCCTGGCTGAGCCCTGTGCGTGCCCTGCCCACCCTTGGCCGCACGGATGGTGATAGGAAGGCCTGGCTTCTGCACGTGCCCTTGGAAACAGGACACGTCTGTGTGGCAGGCACCTCCAGGAGACTCCGCCTCATTCCCATTCCTGGCTTGCAGGGCAGGGTTGAGAGGATGGGACAAATAAACGGGGTATGGGTGTCCTGTGTGCCCCAAGTGCGGCGAGGAGGGACCATCTGACCAGAGGCAGGCGTCCCTCCAACCCTGCCCCATGTCCCGTGTCGTCTCCTCCATCCTCGTCGAGCTGCTCTGCGTCTGCTGAGTGGACAGAGTCAATGTGCAGGGCAAGACCAGCTCTTCCGACAGCACCGGGCAAGGCTCTCACTCTTTACGTTGTCACTCTATGCATGAGTCCTGTTTGCTTGTGGTAGGGAGAAAGCAAGCCCTGGTCTTTTCTGTAGTACATGATTTGGGTCCGGCACATTCTGTCCGTTCAGTGGCCTCATCGGATGACCTCAGACAGGACCGGCGGGGGTTCCTCACGCTGTCGGCTCCTCTCAGCCGCACCCTCGAGGGACGGCCTGCTCCTTCCCCAGCGTGAGCGGCCCGTGGGTCTGCACCTGTATTCCCAAGTGACCGAGAATCGGGCTACAAGCCTTAACCTCACAAGGGTGGACCGTGTCTGTTCATACTGGTTATTTTTTAGCACTAGCTGTGCGCCAGGACAAGGCCAGGGTAGATGCTCACTTCTAATTTTATAACTAGATAAAGGGCAGTAAAGCCCAAAGAGAAGACCGGGATAAAATCAGGAAATCAAAAGGAGATGAACAGACTTCTACATAAAATTATATTGCATGGAGGGGCATCTGGGAGGCTCTGTCATTTAAGCACTCAACTCTTGATTTCGGCTCAGGTCCTGAGTTCAGGGTCATGAGATTGAGCCCCACGTTGGGCTCCACACTTCCCACGGAGTCTGCTTGTCCCGCTCTCTCTGCTCCTCCCCCTGCTCGTGCTGTCTACATAAATGAATAATAAATAAACAGTGCAGACGATGCAATGCTGGAGACAGATGTGGGGAAGTTGTTTTCATCTTAAAGGCTAGGTTTTAAGCTTGGCGCCTGTTTGAAGTACGGTGAGCATTCTGCTTTTGTAGGAAAAGGAGTAAAATTGATTAAAGCATGGCAATTGTAATAAAGGACAAATAAAATAAAGGATAAACAAGGGACAAATGAATTAGGTATTGTAGAGTTTTCTATACAAACTATGACTAATTCCTGGGTTCCTGAAGTTCCTTCTCCTCTACGTCTCATGTGCACGCTGCAGGACAGAGGTGGTGTGGACGCAGCTGGGATAGTGTCGTGTGGAAAGCACACAGTTAGCTGAGGTTCAGAGCCTGAGTTCTCAAAGTGAACCTCCCCTATATTTAATTTTAAAATGAAATCATAAACTTTCCCCTAGATAATTCAGAAGTCAGTTTTCTTGTTTTTGTTTAAAAACAAACTCAAAGGGTGTCATATGCAAATGGACAGAAATCACCCCCGTTTCAGCTGCTTGGGGCCAGCGTTTGATAGAAGGAAAGGAAAGGGGTGAGGCAGGCAGAGCAGGGAGGTGGGGTGCGGGAAGCTAAGAGTTCTTGAAATCCCAGCCGCTGATGTCGGAGGACTGCACCATGATGTAAAACTGCGTATGGCAGGAAGGAAGA